TGTAAGGTAAAAGAGTAGGGGTGCAGGCTCCTTATATCCTGCAGAGTCCTGCTCCCTCCTCCTCCTGTCTCCTCCCCCTGCTAGCCTCATACTAAAACGTTTTGGCATGCAAATCACTGCCGTTACACAACTGGTGGATGGAAGAGGGGGAGGTGAGGAGGGGAGAATGAGGGAGGTCATAATAGGGTCCTTAACACCCCTCTTGTGATTGTGAGCTTGCATTTCTTCATCATATGGCACATTAAACTAAACTTTAGCATAAACATGGAAGGAGAAGTCACAGCAACTGTAACTTTTACTGTTTGTGAGTAATCCTCTGTCAAAGTCCCCTCCATAGTAGAGTCAATATCACTAATTACTTTGCTGTCCCCATCAGAATCACTCAGTCATCATGAAAATGTAGAATAATGAAACTCTGAGGTCTTTTTATAAATGGCCAAACAAACATTTACACACATATCAGTACTCTGATAAGTCTCTTGAAATGTGTTTCCTTAATTTTATACCGTATATTTTCATTGAATGTACGTGATTTTGGCATGTCCCCACACTGCTCTGTACAGCGTGTGTAATAAGTGATTAAATGATACTACCTATTTTAAATAATTATACGGTTTTATTGTCCACTACGAGTTATTTGATAAAACGAGTCATTTTGATCATGTATATTCTATTTTCATAATAATATTGAAAATTGTTCATGTGTCCCTGACATTGCTGTCCACCCTGTCATTATGGGGTAACCTATAAAAAAACATCTGATGTTTTCAGTGACATTACTACCACCATTTTGTCTTTCCTCAATGGAGGCTGAGACATTGGCTAGTTGCAGAGTAAGTATTTAAACTTATATTTCGTAATTTTAATCATATTATGTGTGTAGTTGGATCTTGTCAAGCTTAACATGTCCACTCTGTCATAGTGAAATGTCAATTAATATAAAAACCTTTCAGAAAGTCAAAAATATATTTGTTAAACACTACCTCCTCTGCCGAAAAAAATAGCTAAGTTGACCAGCCTGACCAGCCTGACCAGCCTGACCAGCTAAATTGACCAGCCAGTAGATGTTAGGCTTGAATGGATGGCTAAAAAAACAGCATAGACCAGCACAGCTGGTATGCTGGGCTGGTCACCAGCATCCATCTATCACCAGCTTATGTTTAATAATAGGATTAAATATACCATGCTGGAAGCTTACCGGGATTCCAGGTGACCAGCATACATTGTTTAAATATAATTATTTAAACCAGAGAACATAAATATATTACAAAGATTGATTGTGTCATGTATTCTGGTATCTACAAAAATAAAGACATTGTAAAGTGTTCATAACAGTATTTTAATTTAATAAACAGCGATAAATAGCTAGTTAATATAATAAAATACACTGTAACAATACAATGATTATGCAAATAACAACCAACCCGCAAATCAACGTACACATCAAAATAAATATATTATCTAAAACGGGTTCATTTGATTTTAAATAAAAGCAATAAATAGAATTCATATTTAAATGGTAACAAAAACAGTAACACTATGTATGATAAGAAAAAGGCAACAAAGAAAGTGTTTTTTGTTTTTCCTTGTTCATGTCCATAATGTTTCCCGTTGTGTAACGTCCAGCCTTTCCCAATCTGGCCTGCACTTCTGTCTGTTGAAGCCACTTCTTGAAGCAAACTGAAAAGAAATGTACAGATATAAGTATACTGTAAAAAGAAAACTTGACATTTACGTTAACATTTGGGCTGCTGTGGTTGCCAGAACCGTTAAAGTATGGTAAAATACATTACAAATTACAGTACAACGATTGCTTACGGTGAATTACAATGAAAAAAATAAATAGAGCTAGTGTACACGGTGCAGCTGTATTATCTGGGAAATAGAAGAATCGGATCAGGGTTCGGTATTGGCAGACAATCAATATCAAATGAATCGGATCATTATTAGCATCAGCATTTGATCACCTTTGTAGACTTGCAGCCTAAATACAAAGATAACTCCACTCCTCACTCTTACCTCTAATAAGCCTCGGTAGAACTAGTGTCCGAGTCATAGAGTCCATAACTGACTGGAGACATGTGGAACAGAGGACAGGCATGGTTCCATGTACAGGAAACTGGAACTTTGAACAGGTGTTTGATGTGGGCTGGGATGATCCTTTCTGCAGCGATAAATAAAGAAAACAAATAGTAATGATGGTAACAACAATAATATTAGTATAACTATTTATATAGCACTTACACAATTGCAAAGTGATTCTCACAACAACAATAAAGAACAAAACATTATCAACAATAAAAAAACAAATGATTATGTAATTAATTAATAGTATTAAGTCATATAAAGCCGAAAAATAAATGTGTGGTTCGTGAGGGAGCTTCACACATCACCTAGTGTTTGGTTAGGGCTTAATACTACGATAATGTAAGTGATGGGCAGTGGAGTTAGAGAGAATAAAGTGTACCTGACTGACTCCTCTCAGCTGCAGCGGCTCCAGGTATCACCGACTGACCAGTTGCATTGTGGGTAATGTAGGCGCCATGTTTTGGACAAGGAAGATCAATAATATGGCAAGAGAAATAGATAAACTGGCTTCAGTCTGATAATCATTTCTAATATATACCTGTAGCAGGTGTTCTGTTAAAAGACTATTGCAGTATAATTTGTGTAACGTAAATGGAAAATCCTAGAAATGTATTAGGACACAGAACCTATCACTGTTGCCTTCAGGGCGTGCTTTTATCCTCTGTTTATTTATGTGTCCTTTTCTTCCCTCTGGTAGCCGACTGCTTATTCTTACTATGTCATTTTGTACCTTTTATAGCGTCCTTGGGTTTAAAAAATATACAGTATATTGTATTTCATTTATTTGTATAGTCTTTAATAGCCTACTTTCAAATTGGTTGTTCATTTGATTTGCATTATTTCTCTCTCTTTTCTTATATTGTTTTGGTAGTTGTTCATCTGGCTGTTGTTGTCAGCTGCCTACAAATACCAGGGGATAAATATATTTGCATTAAATTGCACTGAATTCGGTTAATCATGTTTTTTTTTCTAAGAATGGCAGAATCTCCCCACAAGGGGGCAGCCTATGACCCGTCTCTGACTGACCTTCAGAAGACAATGACAATGAGTTAATGAAGTTAAAGGTACGAAACGTGAAATAAACTGTCCATATCACCTGAAAAAATACTTGACAAATTAGCTATTCTATTCCAATAGGTTTATGAGAGCAAGATATAGATAGATTGTTGTGTTTTTTGAATAATTGAAAAAAGCCTAGATTTTTTTTAAACTAATTTAAATGTAGGTTATATAGGTGCCAGGGCTACCTTCTAACAGGTGACACATTAAAAAACATAAACAATAGTTTTGTTTATCTGTCATGAAAATGTGTTTATAGCAAACAACATTACATTAAATGTGACAAGATGCATTAACCAGTACGCTGTATACATGTTAATTAGCACAGCTTCATGGTGCTGGAAAAGCTTGTAAATGCACCGTTAAATGCTTGAAAAGAATGGGAATGTCTTTAACCATTGATCTGCTGTCTGTCTGAAGATATGGTCAACATGAAAGTGATGCACAGAAAGAGAGTGATATTAAAGATCAAACACTCTTTATTGAACTGAACACAACTGAAAGCAAAACATATGGGTCATGTCTGTTGGAGCTGATAATCCATCATCATCGTTATCTGCAGTCACATGTCCATAGCATGTGGGCACTATTATGTATATCTGAGTAATATAATCATAAGAAAAGGAAAGTCACTGGGTTGCCTTCGTGGATGTGATGAGGCCGAAGGCAGGCTGAGTTCACTAGCTGTCCTCATGTCTGATAAAGTGATCTGCAGCTAGCACCCAACCAATCAGGTAACAGGGTGTCATGGCAGAAATGAGACAAAACAGACGTACAGAAAGCAAATTCATGACAAAAGTACAAAGTTGGCAGCAACGTTGTTCTGTAAATGCTACGCTAAGGTAAACACACGCACCGATGGCAGGAAAAACAAATGGTTTGAAAGTCTTGTGTGATGGACAACAGTGGCACAGAGTGAAGCTCAATTCATCGTTGACTAAGCACCAGCCTCATGAATGTTCAACCTTGACATGCTCTATCAAACATGCATGTTTGCGTGTGTGTGTGTGTGTGTAACAGAGGGTGGGTGTAAGCCTCTTGTGTGTTTGTATAGCGTGCAGCTCTGTCAATGTACCTGCTGCATAAAACCCCACACATCTATGCTTCAAATGTAAGAATAAAGAAACTTTTACTGGGCTTTTATCGCCTACGCATTCTGAATTTGTGGTTCGTTAAACACATCCCTCAAATCAGGAGACATAAAGATACCTAACTGAATCGGATTAATGAGAATTCATGCAGCAGCAGCAGCAAGTTATTGTATTAATAGTAGTAATCTGGGGAAAGGTACAATGGCTCAACACCTCGAAGGCACAAAGGATTAAAAAGCCAAATATTATCTTTCCCTTCCCAGATTAGGATCCCGGTTTAAACACATATTGAGTATGTTTTGGGGGAATTTGATGCTGCTTTGACCACTCGCTGCATGAAATTAAGAGCATCAATAGAACTCGAGTTGTTTGATCTCATCTGTGTGAACCAATCTCCTTTTATCCAATAAAACAAATGGTCTGACCTACACATAGACATAAATGCACGCACTGCAAACCCACAGCCCAACGCCAGTCTCAGATGTAAAAATACCGGTTTGTAAAATGACGTAAGACTCAAGTGTTTGGCAAAGAAACGAGAGGATGGCTCATGTCTGGACGAGCAAAGGCTCAAAAGAAGCTGCCGTGCTGAGCTGAACACACCATGATTTCCCATCATGCTGAGAAACCCCTCCTCAGAAAGCAATACGTACAATCGAATGTCATAAGGTTTAAACATAAAACTCTATATTTAATACATATATAATGTAATGGACGGACACGTGATATCGTAATATACATCTGACATTTCTCTTTAGTGTTTATGTATTAGACTCTGAATAAATCTTTTGAGAAAAAGAAAAAAGAACACAAATATCGTATTTACAAAGTGAGTTTTGGCATCCATATTCAACTCTATAATACCACAATATAAGTGGAAATGTCATTTGCATGTGAGTGTTGACAGACTGGTGCAACCACAGCCTGATAAATTAACATAAAAAGAGTTTGGCATGTTGATTTGATCCTTTTTCGATATAAGATATTTTGTTAAAAAATAAAATCAAAATGCAACAGAGACTGGCAATAAATCTGTGCTATCACACGACCCAGTAAGTATAATTATTTGTCATATACAGTATTCAAAGGACTCCTGAAAACTCCCAAGCACGATACAAAGAAGGACAATCCGGTTAGTATATACATGTTCAGTCTGTCACAGCCGTGCTCCGCTGCGTAACCGTCCCCCTTCTCTTCTAATACTCTGAATATATAAAAAACAAAACAAACAAACAAACAAAACGATTTCTGTACATGTCTTTCCTTCTCTCTGGAAGATTATTGTCCTGTTGAATGGCCTCCATCTCTCCCGTGATTGGCCATTACATTAACCCTCCTCCGTCTCTGAGGCCTCGCTTCCTCTCTCAAAGTCCTCTCTCATTGGCCGTTAGATGAACCACTCCTTCTTTGATTCCTCGATGGTCTCGGGGTTGTCGGTGCCGACGATGGCCGTGTCCGCCGACTCTGTGGCTGACTCCCCGGTGCTCTTGGCCTCGTTGGTGTGGTACGTGCCTTTGTGGCGGAACATGTAGCGGATCAGGAACACCAGAGTGCATAAGATGGTGAAGATCACCACCGCTATGATACCTGAGGAGGACAACATGTGCACAACAAAAACATCTGTTATTTTGTGTTTTTATCAGAGATGGCAAAAGTACACACATCTTTTACTCAAGTAGAAGTACAGATACTCACGTTTAAAAATACTCTGGTGAAAGTAGAAGTACTGACTAAACTTCTTTACTCAAGTCAAAGTAAAGAGGCTTTGAAATGTACTTCAGTAAAAAGTACCCATAACTAGCAGCTGTTTTAAAGAGTACCTGACCTCCCTTTATATTAATAGAATAATGTCATTGTTAGCTAAGGAATGTTTCCATGCTGAACAACGGCAACATGACAACGTTTTCATTGGTCCCTCTTCTTTAGAGAAGAACAGGAAATGATGGATACACGGATCGTGTTCAAATCAATAGGCACGCAATGACTCTAAATAATAATGATCACGCCACCAAACACACATTCAAACTAAAGGAACCAGCCTGTTTGGAAAATGTGAGAAGTAGAAAGTACAGGTATTTGTGTTCAACATGTAAGAAGTAGAAAGTACAGGTATTTGTGTTCAACATGTAAGAAGTAGAAAGTACAGGTATTTGTGTTCAACATGTAAGAAGTAGAAAGTTCAGGTATTTGAGTTCAACATGTAAGAAGTAGAAAGTACAGGTATTTGAGTTCAACATGTGTGTAAGAAGTAAAAGTTAAAAC